AAGTACCAAAATTTAACATTAATTGATCAAGAGGTATGATGAAAATGCTGGATCGTCATCTTAGAATCAAAATTATCTCAAACACCATTCATAAAACTATTCAGCTATGTTTATTCATAGGACGATTCCGTACATTCTATTAATGCTCTTCTTTTAATATATCACGTGCAATTATTTATCAATTACATCAACAGTTATTTAATTACCCAAAACAATTACATCTTTATTAATAAGAGATTTCTTCTAGACCAAATAAATAAAATATCAACTAAGCAAACGTACATTGCACGTTGCTTACACCTAGTATTCAATAAATGTACCATATCAATTTACTTTTAAATGAATATATAAGTAAATGCTACATATATTGTCACTTGGGCAGTAAAGCTAAATAGCATTGTTCGTGTAATAATCACGTTTTTCAACTTTTAAATCTTGTATTTATGGCATGCGTCCTCGTTAAAAATTGCATTTTAATAGCATGCCTTTCATGTCAAAAGGGTAACCAACTTAGATCGTTCTTTACCCTATTCGAAAATGAACAAAAATGTGCATTATTAAATTTCTTAACAAATGCAATAAAAGAGGCTTAACAAAGAACATATTCAACCTTAGGGGATTAGGGTTATTAGTTTGACTAATATTACAGATCATGACACTATCAAATTTAAGTAATTAAAGAATACAATATGTAGTTTATTTCATAGTAACAAAAGCAAATAGTTATTTCACTCTCTAACTAATTTATAATTTTGGGGAATAAAAACTTACTCTTTTTTTTCTTACCTTAAAGTATCTACAACGGTTAAGTGTGTAATTCAATTTTAGTTTAGTTTACTTATAACTGTTAAGTAATTCTACTAATGGTCATTGAAATTCAAGAAAAAATTTAAATTGAATATTAAAGTATTTATGCGACTTGCGTTTAGCCAGTAAAGTTAAATAATGCAATATAATTGGTCACTTCGTTAACCCAATTTGATGAAGAAGCTATTAAAGTTTTGTGTAGACTAACAGTCGTTAAAGTGTACAGTTTATTCTAGATGTCCGTTTATTTTAGCTCTCACGCGTACTAGGCTTCCAAGACTTGGATAGGGGCCCTTGAGAATAGAGCAACATTTGCTTCTTTTTTTTTTTCCCCCCCCCTTCTATAAAATAAAATGTTACAAAGAACAAAGTTATCTCTAGAGAAGTAGCTATTTCTAGAATCGAGCCACCATACATTTTAATGATTTTTGGTGATGATAGGGAGTTTGATAAAAGGTGCACGTTAATAGATGGGATAGAGAGGTGGTCGAAGCGATATGAGACATTATTTCTGTGTAGTCATTCCACGATATTTGTTTCGTATACATATTTATTTCACTGAATCTCCATTCCAAGACAATAATCAATTACACATACGTACTATCATTTCAATAATTTACCTGATTGATCTTGGTGTCATCATTCCATGATATGTCAATTTTCAACTAGAACAATTTACCGATGTGACATGATATGGCACTGATGATCAATAAATTATCAAATTAAAGTCCTTATATGAGCTTAACGTAGCCTAATACACTAAAACTAAGAAAAATATATTTTAGACTTATATATTATACAAAGTCGGCACAAAAAAATATTTTTTGACTTGTATATTTCGCTCTTTTGTCAGTGACAAACTTTTCAATATATTTTCTAAATAATAAAAATTTCCAAGATAAAATTCCGAAAAACGAAGTTTGTAAAAAAATAAAATAAAAAATGTTACTGATCTACATTGACACATAGTGAAAGGTTGTCGCGATCAGAGTAAGAAAATGAGATATGCTAGTCGTACATCACCACTAACATAGGGTTGTCCATAATGGACACTTGGCACTACATCATTGGAGGGAGGGTTGGTGGGGTCGGCACTCCCTCCAATGAAAGGGTGCCGGGTGTCCATTATGGATACCCTTATGTTAGTGGTGATGTACCACTAGCATAATTCAAGAAAAATATGTTGAGGGGGTAAAGGTGTAAAGGTAAGGGACTCAACGGTAAATTTCTGATTTTATTTACGCTAAGGTAGGTCGATTTTATTAGACATTCCCAACGGTAAATTTCTGATTTTATTTACCCTAAGGTAGGTCAATTTTAATTTTTGTTAGACATTCCTCCGAGGCACAATCAGTTCTCAAGCAATGGCACTGAGAGAGAGAGGAGATGCGTGGGCGAGCGACGACGGCGGACCACCGGAGGTCACTCTTCAGACCTCCATGGGCTCCTTTGCAGTTGAGGTGACTACTCTTTTCACCCAAATTCATGTGTATTAATCCATTTATCGTGCTTTACTGTTCGACTTTTTTTTCCTAATTAATGATACAAAAATTGATGAAAATATGGCAGATGTACTACGACCATGCACCCAAGACTTGCAGGAACTTCATAGAGTTGGCTCGCAGAGGCTATTACGATAACGTCAAATTCCACAGAATCATTAAGGTCTCCTTTTAGGTTTCGATATTAATATATAAACATTTCTAATATTGAACTGATAATTTTTATGTGATATTGGACTACAGGATTTTATAGTGCAAGGTGGGGATCCAACTGGGACTGGCAGGGGTGGCGAATCAATTTATGGGTATTTATTTATTTATTTTTGCTTTGTAAAATGTATTTTCTAATATTTGAGTGTGCCTTGCACTTGGTTCTTTTCAAATTAATGTTATCTTTTGGTTCCAAATACTTCTCAATTTTGTAGGAGTTCTATAGATCACCCTTTTATGGTTTTTAAGGCTTTTTTTTCAAAAGAAATAGGGTTAATGCTTAAATTACTCTTATAGAGAAAAAAGATGGTAAAATGTCAAATTTCTGAATAACTCCGGGTGGTGGGTGCTCTGAGGTTCTTGTTTAGAATGTCAAATCTAGGAAGTAAACACATTTTTTTGGGAAAACAAAATCTTTATCTTTAAAATTGTAAAAGGGAGAATAATTGATGGAAAACAAACCCAGAGTCTCGCCCTAATTTCTAATAAAAGAGTGGTGTCTATAATAGTTTCTCTTAAGAGTGTCTCTTCAAATGTCTCTATGAATATGTTTATAAACTGATACAGTATATTTTTCCTGCAAAATGTGTCATGGATTGATTTTTTTTTTTTGATAGGTATTATGGATTGATTTTTTGCTTTTCTTATGTTTAATTCTTGACTAAGCCACATACTTGTGTTACTATGTTAGTCTGTGCATAATGTTATTGTTTAATGTTTTTAATGATAAAAGACAATTTTTCTTGTGATTATAAATTGAAGAATTTTTGTTCGACTTTCAACATTCAGTTGTTTTTTCTTTCTTTCTTTGTTTAATTTTCGTTGTTGCAGGAAACATTTTGAGGATGAGCTAACCCCAAAGTTAAAGCATACTGGAGCTGGTATTATATCCATGGCAAATGCTGGTCCAAATACAAATGGAAGTCAATTCTTTATTACATTGGCACCAGCACAATCACTCGATGGTAATTATATTATTGCATTAGAACAAGCAGGTTACTCTCAGTAGCAAGGCTGAGGAGAATACATTGTATGGTATTTAGTGTCAATGGCTCTAGTTTATGTTTTTAATGGATTTGTTTCATAACTGTTGGAGATGGTTATCACGGTGCTGGGAAATGGGATTGCATATTGAACTTGATCGTCAAATAGAATGCTATTAGAGAGTTCCTACTTCCTACTCTCTGGATTAGTATGGAGCTTTTATTGGATATTGTTTTGCTGTTTGGATTTGACCGCTGACATTCAGTCTCTTGATTATCTTCTATGTTCTTTACAAAGTTCTTGTTGTACTACCTTCTTATTCCTCCAGTCTGCTACACACATCGTCATACCCATACATTTTCACACATTAGTATTTACATGGAAGATTCGATTTCCTCTCTCTTTATATGAGCAGAATTTTTCTTGGTACATATTGTCGATGATTCGCTAACAAAATTATAGTAGGAATCTTGACATATTGGCAGTGTTTCTTTGTTAATTTCTTGGATCAAAAGGTGGCGGTGGAAGTTTTAGTGTATTTCTTGCTCCACTTTCTCTGATTTTAGAATGAAAAAATCCGGTGGCACTTCTAGCAAATATAAAGATATGTTGCCATTTTTATGGTTCCTAATAAACTTAATATCATGTACCTTTTCTATAACATGCTTTTGTTTTCCTTACATGCTCTATCTTGATTTGCTAATTTTCAAGATATTGGAATATGGGGCAAATTGTTGGAGCGTGATAATTGTTTATATGGTCTGTGGTTAGAATATATGTGCTGAAAGTCTAAATTAGTAGGAAAAAGTAATTAAAATTAAATAAAATACATTACTTTCAAGATATGTATGGTTACACCCTGTTCCTGAATAATTCTAAATGATACCATTCTATCTCTTCATAGTAGCAACCTGGGGTCCTGGACTTATCCCATCGATTTGACTGCGGGATCTTAGTGGGCCTATAACTGCCTCGCTATTTTGATACACGTCAGAAATATTTTCTATATTTGGACTGTAACTTAAAGTGGCTTACGGCATTTGATAGAACCATATTATATACAGCTTCCATGCAACATGGATCAAAAAGGTGTCCTGTGCAGACATAAATGATGCAACTCATGAATGAACTGACAGAAATCTGTTTCTGCAGGCAAGCATACAATATTTGGGAGAGTATGTAGAGGAATGGAAATTATCAAGAGACTTGGCAGTGTTCAAACTGACAACACTGATAGGTATGCTCGTTTCCTGAATATTTTCTTGATCAGATTTTTAAACAAACTATATAGAACAAATGGTAACATGTGAAAAATAATTTCAAATTACTCTCTTAATCCTCACCAAATTTAGAAAGTAAGTTCCACTTGCATCTTTTATTCAAAAGAACCATCATAAAAATAGATGTGGATCTGCTTTGACTGCACCAGTAGAGTTGGCTTTAGCTCATACAATTCTAACCATTAAATATAACCAGAAATCAGATTTATTAACCAATTTTCCCTATCAAAAAAAAAAAAAGATTTATTAACCAATTTTCATTCTCTTCCCATTTAAACATGTTTCTCCAAGTTCTTAGACTTGGCCTTCACATTTCTACCCCGTAAATATGTTAGGACATCAGCCATATGGTATTATATGATTTGTGTTCAGTAGCAAGGCACTGTTAAATCTTTGTTCTGTCAAATTCAGGCCCATACATGATGTGAAGATTCTACGGGCAACAGTCGAAGACTAAATTGCTATCCTATTGACTTGTAACTGCTGAAGTCCACGACGATCCATGTAGTGGTTGGCTTATTGTTGGAATATGAATCATGCTACGATTTTTGTTAGCTTGTACCTATTGGAAACGAGATTCTAAGTGCATGTTTTGTAGCAATATAATCCATCTTAGTAAACATGCCATGAATGTTGGGAAAACTTGTGAAAACCATGAGAGGTTTCCATTTAAGCTTTATTTTCCTGATTTTCCTTCTCTATTCCAGTCCTTGTTTCGTATACCTTTGATTCATATAATTAATTGACTGCATAGTAGGGTCTAAAATTGATGTGTTTCCCCATCCTGTCCCTTCTTGGGATTCCATTTGATTGCCAACTATGAGAGAAACTGAAATCAGTTCATTTTGGCCTGGGGCTCATTTTCGAAGCCAATTTGCCAAGCACGAGGATATGATTAGTTCAAGAAAAACAGGTACAACTGCAAAAATAGATTTCAAAACCGTGTTGTTCCTTCCATGCGTTTCCCGCCTTTCCAGATTGTGACTTACTGACTTAATTGATTAGTGCAATCCTTGCTCAGAACTCCAAAAGACGACTTCAAAAGCATCGTTTGCCAAATTTTGAGCTCCGACTGCAGGTATATCGTGATTTTAACTGTAAATTTTATTTTTAACATTCTTTGGCAATTGTTATAAAGAGAACAATGCTGGTAGAATTAGTCCATTGCAATCATCTATCTATTTTTCTTTATTAGGAACTCCGATAGAACTATTGATTGTGCAATAAATATTTGGTCTTTTATCTGGGGAAACGATAGACAAATAAGCATACATAGGTTCTTCCTAGCTGATTCGACTAATTTTTAAATAATAGAAAAATTATATAATATGTTACAAAAAACCCCCACCCACAAGGGGTAGAATGCTAAGCATTCCTATTGAAAGCTCATCACTTCGCAATAGCTACATATTTGTATTTTGGGCAAATAATTTTTAGCTTATCCTACACTACTGAAGCCAGTATTCAATCTTCCACAATGATTACAGCCCTGCTATATGCATTGCTGCCAAAGCAAACTCCACCTTCCAATATCGATGAATATTATAAAACCCCATCAAATATATGATACAAGCGGCTTCAGACATCTAATCGGCAAATGTCTGAAACTGCTAGTGCTAAGTTGATGCACAAGCTCACAAATGAATCACAGAATCAATACATGTTCAACTCTGCCTGAGTCAATTGTCTGATTCAACTGCTCCTCGTTTAATGAGGAAGATTGCACAACATTATATCCATTGAGCTCAACTGATCCAACAGGACCATCTTTAATCCTTGTTGGAGCATGTGAAGTTGACGGGCAGCTCTTCTGAAACAGCCTGCTGTTGAAGCAATTCCATACGCCTCAAAGAAGGCACATCACCCTGACAATATCTTCGCCACATATTCCTGTATGTTGATTCCAGACTTTGAATAAATTTTGGCCCCTCACACAGAGGAGAATTTAACATGAGATCTCGCAGTCCCATTCTCAACTTTGAGAGGGCAGTAACATCTGATGCCAATTGTACTGCTAGCTGCACGTATTCATCATCATTCTTGGCAACCAGGTTGCTCAATCCTGAAATGCAACGACATAAGACACCATCACGTATTTACCAAATTAACCAGGAGCTTATGTCCAAGCTTCATTTAAACAGTGCTATAAGAGACGCGCATCCATGTTCTATCATCATCAGAAACATTCAAGACACTAAATGATTGCCAGTACTGGAGAAAATACATACCAACCATGGTCAGAAGACTCACTCCAACATTATGCGCATGTACCAAACCTCCCATAGTGACACATGGAACGCCCATAAATAGAGATTCACAAGTGGTAGTAGTTCCCGCATAAGGAAAGGTGTCCAAGCTACAGAGATTAACAATATTCATATTAGTCAAATTCCAAGTTCAACAATCTCTCGATATAAAATGTATTTCTGCCAGCAATCTAAACAAACATGTAACAAGAAACACGAGAATCCACTAATAAAGAATCAATAGCGTGTCTAAGAACTATCATAAGGAGCTTGAGTACATCGTGTACGATAATCGTGTCAGTCTCACAAACATGTTCTTTTCCACGTGCATATAGAGTATAGACTGACCCATAACACAGCATACTCGACTTGATAGTCCATGGAAAACACAAAGGTAACCCTATGACCTACCACTTGTAGAGAGCAAATTTGGCAAGCAATAAGCACTTAAAATACAATACAAGTGCACCCTTTCTCATGCCGAGGACAAGATGCTGAATGTAAACAAAATAACGGAGGGATCCAAATTAGACCTAAATGGAAAAAGCATGTAAAATGCTCTTCAAAACCTAGGATTAAGGGCATTATGGCAAATACAATAGTCAAGGGACTAGTTACACCAAGAAAATGGGACAAAACACTTACCTAATGTCCATCAAAGAATATGCTTGCATATGATCATGGTTTAGAAGAATCAGGGGCAGGAGATCAACACGCTGTGATTCTAATCCCAACTGCTCCAGTGTTGAAAGAAACTGCTGTCTCACACTATCACAACTGAATGGCTTACACTTTACAATAAGTCGAGAATTAGGAATTGTACATAGAATCCTCGCCCAAACTTGCAGTACTTTAGGTGTGATCTGATGACAATAAAATCCAAAGGAAGAATAAGAACCAACAGAATCATTACTACAATAATTATGGCACACTAAATGTAGATATTAATTCCACAGTTATCAGTACCTTTGCTAGATTGTTAAAGCTACCAAAAGTAATAAAGCCATTGGATAGAGCAGGAGTTGGAGACACAGGCCCCGCTTCAGGGGAAGGCGTGTAACAAAGGAAAGACCCTGATAATCGAACTAACTCCTCAACATGCCTGCCAGTAATAGAGGAGAAGCAAAGAATTTGTTGTTCAAGTTATGCTATATTCCAGCTTTTAGTATAATAACTGTACCAATATTTCAAACAAAAGGGTAGTATGCCTTACTTCTGTTTCGTATCAGGAGAGTCAGCCAAGGAATCGGTGATTCTGTAATCAATGGTTGGCAAACCTGTCGTATTGGGGTAGCCAATCCAAGTCACCTATCATAGACCCAAGTCAAAAGATCAGGTAGAAGAAGAGAACATTGGCAACAATTAACAAATCCACCATGCCAACAGCCCGAAAAAGTTGATTAATTGGTTTTATCACTATCTTAGAGAATGTTCAGGATAGTTGGAGCACAAAATTTAGTAGTGTCTTACAAACGCCTAGGAAAGAAATGAAATTCATCAGGTTACGAATAACTTGTACATTATTGACTCTATTACAAACCGCAGAGCAAGGAATGAATTCTTCACAAAAACGAGGACATTGAATAAAATATTTTTGAAATGAAAAACCATTCAGCTATTGGGTAGCATGTGCATTCAAATACAAGAGCAGTGACTTGGGTAGCATGTGGCCCTCTCAGCAATTTGCTTCATAAAAATTAGGCAATGGTCCTAACAAACATGTGAAACAAGAAAAACTCTGTTTTTGTAGATATCAATTTTTAAAATCACGATCCGGTCGTATAATCCTACTACCAGAATGACCAAAACGATCCAGATCGAGTCTGGAATCGCAATCTTCAAGGATTGCTATTAGGATCGATTTCAAATCGTTAGGATTGGCGATCGTACTATCGGGACAATCTAGATAATAAAATGTTTAGGCTGTAATTTTTTTTTTTTTAATTTTTAAAATGCAATAAATTGGGCTAGGTGCTGGGCTTATTTATTTCACTAATGGGCTGGTTTCTTTTGGATAAGTAACATAATAGAGTTCAACTTCAAAAGGTAGAAAGAAAAAATAAAGAACGTCAAACAACAATGTAAAATCCCTAACTCAAATCCCAAATCAGAGATTTAGCATTCAACTCATAGTTTTGCCTCTCATGGACACATGTTCATCTCTCAAATTTGACAAAAAGAAAGATACATTATTGTAGACCCTTATAAGTAGTTGAAATTATGTTTTTATTAGTTGTTTTAGGTTAATTATGGACTTGCAGTTAATAATTTGTTCTTAGACCTTTTTTTATATTATTTTAATATTTAAATTGTCATTATTTAGTAGAATCTTACGATCCTCGGTCCGACCCGCAAGTCTCCTCCACTGATCTGTGACAGATACTGACAACCTTAGTATATACACACTTAACATTCAGCAGAGTAAAGAAATATCCAAGCATTAAACTATCAAAACATGCCACATGCCAGGTAATGTCCGACTCCACAATAAATATTCGAAAACAATTCACTACAAAAGAATTTTGCAGGTACTTCCATTAACAATTAGCTTAAACTTTCTGCTGACAAACTTGCAAACACAAAATTTGGAATAGAAGTAAAAAGTTGCAGGTTGTCAACCCAACAAAGACCACATTTCACAAGGCCAGACTATAACAATTTAATCGCTTGACCATGATAATTACAGGGGCAAGAGAAAATCCTTACACCTATTAATTTTTGGGAAAATCAATTTATTTTGAAAGTTTAAATGATTAAATAGCACAAACAAGCAAACATAGCTGTGGCATCATGAAAAGTTATGCCCACCATGTATATATGAAAATTATGATCCACAGTTATAAATATTCCCATTGAGATTGAATTCTTTCCCTATAAGGAAATACTGCAATGCAGGTGCTAACTTTTCACATAAAGAAAATACTAAAACATGAATGCTGACATTAATATGAAGAAAAATTATCCGACCAATATGACAGTTTGTTTTGCCTCAGAAATACCTGAATAGGTGCAGGTCGGCTAGCCATTGTTCCCAACTTATTGTTCGCAGTATGACCGGTAAGCTCTACCAAGATATCAATCTTATCTTCTCTAACCATACTGGCAACCTTTTTCTCATCAATCCCATAGATATCCCTCCATATCCCACCTTTTTTCAGCACTCTGTCTCGAAACCTGTTTGTTTTTGCATCAGCCTGCCACGTCATACAGAAAACACTTTGTAAGTAATTTTAGCACAGGACTCTGGAGTTGGTTTTGGACAGATACGGCCTGGATGTATACATTTACCAAATACGCATTGGAAAAGACATTGTAACAGCCGGGAAATAAAAATTTGCCAGCAACATATAGACAGCAGTTTACTTAACTACAACAGTCCAGAACACAGTGTTTGGCTTAGGCAGGGAGTAGTAATGCAATTATACCTTCACCACTGAGGAATACGCAACCACCGTATAATTTGTGTAGTCATGATGGATGAGGGGTGCTTCGATGAAATATGACACAGAATGAGTAAAATAATCAGGGGAAACGTATCCAATAACTAGTGACCTTTCTGGATCTTTTGGGTTGTCCCACGAAGTATATTGTGGAAATAACCTCATAAAGCGCCTGCCCCAGTCTCTGCAAGTGTACATCTCAAATCAGGACAAGTCCTAAAACCAGTTAAAATGCATGACGTACTATGAGTACCCACAACATAGCTGGAAAAGATCATAAATGATAAATACCAAGATTATTGCAATAAATCAGGACTTAACAATAGTTTTTTGGTATTATTTCAAAAGAGAAAATGTAAATGAATGACAGTTTTTTGGTACATGTTACATTTAGTTTGGTTATATCAACAAGGGAAGCATATTCCGTTCGTTCATTTTTCTACAGTTTCATTCAAACCATCCAGTTTAATTCAAGACATATACTCAAATTTCTTTGAGACGGAATATTGACCAGTGCTAAGAAAATGATAACTAGTTAGAGCTTTAGAAAATTTGGTTCATAAAGAATATGCTTGTCTCCATTACTTCAAGAGGTTAGAACTAACAAAAGCATGCAAGACATCCATCATCAGTGCAATGTTATACCTTCTTCATTCAAATATCAATAAGTGAAGCAAGATTGTTCTACAAGTTAGTTACAAACAGAACTATTAAATAAAAATATAAATATGCATATGCATGACACTCAGATAGAGACAGGCACTTTCAATGTCAATAAACCTAAGCTGATAGAACGTGACTCAAGGCTAGATTGAGCCCCATTTTTTGTGCATAATATATTTTGGAATAATAGATTGATGGAGAATGTGCGGTTAAAAATGAAGAAAAAGATTTTGGATTGTGCGTAATATTATTTTATTGAAGAATGTGTGGTTGAAAAGGAAAGATAGAAAAATGTATTTTGAGAAAAATGGGAATCAAACAAGGTCTTACAACAAATATTCGTGGATCCATTTGTTAATAATAGAAATTGATTGTAGAAGATTTGAAGTTGAATGTAGAAATGTAAAATTGAGAAGTGGATGAAGATTATGTAGTAGTGTATAAAATGAATTGTAAAAGTAAAATCAAGATAATAACGTAAAAAAAAATGTAAAATATGAAGATGATAATAGAATGAAATGAATTGATATTGTTGAATGTTGATAATTTGTAAATTGTAGAGAGTAGAGTAGAGAATGAGATGATTGGTGGGAAAAAATGTTGAATAAGAGGTGGGTATTTATAGAGAAAAAAATAAAAAAATAATTTCAGTGACCAAAACGGTCACTGAATAATTCAATGACCGTTTCTGGTCACTGAATTTCAAAGTGACCAGAACGGTCACTGAATTTATGGCTTTTTGCCATTATTTTTTTTAAAAAAAAGAGCCCACGAGCGGAAGCGAGCTGCTCGTCTACAGTACGAGCCGAGCAGGCTTGGCTCGTCTAACGAGCCGATCCGCTCGGCTCGTGGGCCGCTACAGGCCGTTTCCATTATAAGGTAGGTAAAATGGGTAAACCCAACCACTGTTAACAATAGATAAATAAAAAGAAGAAAAAAGAAATAAACTGCATGTACATGACCCATCCCATCCACAACCATTTACCCCCCCCCCCCCCCCCCCTCTCTCTCTCACGAGCATACATTGCCATCCCATGATGATTAGCAATAATTTAGCACCCAAAATATTGGGAAACGAGAAGCTCTATCTACAAATAATTGAAACAATGTAAATTGTATGCATAACGGTAGTAAGCTGGACCTGTGTGTCTCATATAATTTATCATCAGCTCCGTCATTTATGTAATTCATCGCAAGCAACCGATTCTGCAAGATATTGTCAGTGGAGTAGATCAGCAACGAGAAGAATGCAGCCCAACATCTATCCAACCAGAGAATAATTTGAGCAAAACACTCAAAACATATCTATCCAACAGTATCAGAAAACATTTTATAATGTTAGAAGGTCCCAGGATATGTTAAAAAATTCAGCCCTAACCACCTAGAGAAGAGGAAACCAGATAAAGCTTTACCAAGACTACTGAACTATGGAGATCTAAGATCCAAAAGGGTATAAAAGAGGCCAAAATCTTATTTCTCACGGAAAGCTCGACTCCCTACATCATGTTCTGGTACTACCATTTCACAGTTCAAATATCAGTATGTACAATGTGTATCACTGATGCAGTGACCACTCACATCATTTTGCAGCGGCACCTTCAAAATATGTAGTGAACACAATATATTTCAGCACCAGTCAACGCAAGACAATGTTTCGAGAAAGAGGTGGGGGATAAAGAAAATTTGAAAGCTTAAACAATGACCAGTACTCAGTACTCATGAGAATCAATACCTGGCCTGCATTGCGAGAATCAGGATCAATTTTAAGGCACTGCTCATATGCTTCAATGGCCAGAGATATATTTCCAGCATCTCTGTAGAGAACGCCTACACATAAAAAATAAGATCTTCAACTTATAATTAGACTCCAACATGGTTAGTTGGTTACCAAATAAAAAGAAATTACAAACACAAATTCCAAAACAAACACAGAAGATAATTCCAAATTTTAAGCATGGGGGTATAAAAGAAAGAGCTAACAGAAAAGTCAGAAGTTAAGTTCGCAACCCAACCCAAAATAGAAGGCATGAAATGTGAGAGATGATTATAAAAAATGTCCACGTTGGTCAGCATCTTACTGATACTTCATGGATGATAAGTTGATATGCAAAAAAATTAATTCTTTACTTAAGCAAGTTACTCTTTTGTACTACAAATCAGGTTAAAAGAAACCCATAGTTAACGAAGGTTTTGTTTTTTATATCGATAAGAAAAGGTCATGAGAAAAAGAAGTTCGACAACATTGTCAACTAGCATAATGGAATAGAATAAAATAATAGCCCATATTCCCAGAAAAATTCAGATAAAAGAATAATAACGATATTAACAACAGCCTAAAACACATTTTGGTCTTATACAATGGATAATCACTGCAGAGATGGACACATGTACGTGCATGTACAGCATGTGCGTGTGTATGAGAGAGAGAGGGACCTAAATTATTATATGCTTCCGCATATGTAGGATTTGCAGCAATAGCTTTCTCAATCATGCTTGCAGCCGCGTCCATTTTACCCTGTGCTAAGTCACGAAAGCAATGAGTTACTATCCGAGTTGGCGAGTCATGTGACCATTTCAAAAAAACTGTGAAGGGCTACAGTGTTAAACCTGGACAGTGTAAACTACTCCAAGATTGTTTAATGACTGAGAGAAATTAGGTTTGATTGATAAAGCCATCTGCAAAGAATATTATATAGATAAGAAATAATAAGTAATTTATTTGGTCAATAGAGACACAAGCACCAAACTTGCCTGATAACATTCTACAGCTTTATCAAGGTTGTCCCGATCCTTGTAGATCACTCCTAAATTGTTACATGCCTCCGCACAATGGGGATTGAAGTGGAATGCAAGTTCATAAAATACAATTGCCTGCATAAACAGGATGTTATTCCAACAAAAGGAAAACCGCGACGCACATCACAGAAAAGATGAAACAGGAACAGATAAGAAATATCCTTCTAGCAATACAATTGGCAGTCTGCAACAGAACTAGAGAGTTTGATGAAAATGCGAACATGCACATGATTTTCATCACTCATCACCAATTACCATGTCAAACTTCAGCATTTCCCCATAAGCAACCCCTAAATTATACATGGCATCAGCATAGTGCCAATTATAATACAAAGCTTTCTCATAATATGCCATGCCCTGGTCGATGTCACCCTCCAATTTGACCTGAACGAGAGCATATACCAAGTCAGTAATGATGTAAGCATACAAGATTATTATTTATGATCACATAGAGTGCAGGAAAAAGATTAATCTGCATACAATTCTTGATATTTTTCTCCATTTTCAGTAGGGCTGAACAAAAAAAATTCTCAAACCAGCAAAACCGAACCAAAACATTGGTTTGAATCTGCGTGGATCTGTCAATGTTTCAGTTTTGAACCTAACCAATCCACTTAGAAACGGTTTAATTTATGTTTCAATACTTAAAAACCGTTTCAACCTAATCCGAATGATGATTAAAAAAAAACCTACTTAGTATAAAGAAATATGATTCTAGTAAAAAAAAAGTAGGATTCATTAAATCCATCAAATTCATTATTCACTATATGATCCAAATGGTTTGGGATACTTGTGAGTAATAAGGCTTAGATTGTGTTGATATAGATGAATTTTGTTGATTGATTTTTTTAAAGTGAACTTCGTTCATTGTTATGGTTAAACTTTGTATTTTCTAGAGATTTAAGCTTGCATTAATATTTAATATATTGTAATATGTTTTTTTAGAAAGTAATATATTTTAGACAAATATTTATGTTGTATCTTCCTTGAAAAGCTTTTCTTTTTTTTTTTCTTATCAAAAAAAAGAAAAGCTTTACTTGTAGCCAGGTAAACCATGGTTTGAAATCATTTTGTTTAATATGATTCAGAAATTTTTTTTTTTTATAACCGTGGATGTCCGGGCCAACTTGCGCGCACCTCGACTAATTCCACGAGGCCCTGAAGTTTACGGCCGGATACTCACCTCAGTGACCCTGAGGAGACTCGAACTAGTGACCATTAGGGAGCAAATTCAAGGCCTGACCAATTGAGCCATCCCTCAGGGTTAATATGATTCAGAAATTGAAATTGTTGTTTTTTGTTTGGAAAAATTTCATATCATTTTAAATGGTTTGGTTTGAAAATAGACTAAAGACCACCCAAACTGAACCGTGTTCACCCCTAATTTTTGAACACGGTTACCATATACCGTAACTAACTATATTTCTCCAAACAAAACTAAATAATAACCAAAAAAATTTCTTCCTATTTTCAGTATCATCTTCAATATTGACAAATGACCCAAGCCAAGAAGTTGGAAATGACAAAAAACTTGCAATTTTTTATGGTCAATGTATTAGAACTCGTGATCGCTATGTTTAAGCATTTTAAGAAAATGGAACGTAAGACTAAGGTTCGATGGAAAGGGATAACGAATAAATTCTTAATGACAATGTCTTAGAAACTAATAACTTCACGAACTATCTATGCTAGTTTCACAAAAACTATAAATGAGCTGGAAAACTGAAGTGTGGAAAACCACCTTTGTGCCTAAATCAGTCAAGGCAATTGCCATGTTATTTTTTGCAATCTCAAAGTTCGGAGATACGGCCAGACACCTGTATATAAGCAGAAGAGGCAAGACCACATAGCATGAGGTGGAGGATAATCTACCAATCAGTATATTGACACGCATGTGGAGGGAGAGTGGGGGGAGAGCGAGAGGTGGAAGATAAGCACCTCTCATAGCAGGCAATTGCAGACTCCAAATCCCCACGATTCTTGTAGATTACACCCATGTTGCAGTATGCTTCAGCATACATAGGTCTCTCTAATGCAGCCTTTTCATAGCAATTTAGGGCCGTGTCATATTGCATCATTTCGGAGTAGACAACACCAAGATTATAGTAAGCAGGCTGCAAATACAAAGCCAGTGGATCATAATTTGAAGACCCAAATAACAAAATTAAAGTAATGCCAAAACTAAACAAAGAACAAGAAGTTACAGCATAATGTGAATCGATCTTGATAGCTTCATAATACTTCTGGATGCCCTCCTGTGTGTTACCAGCAAGCTTTAAGCTGGTTCCAAGATCTGTCAATACAATAGCCAAGCATTCTGCTGCCAGTTTGTAAGAAGGGTCTGACTTTAGAGCTTTCTGGTACGACTATATCAAATGCAATCCAATAGATATTAATCTTAATACATCATAAAGGCAAAAATGTATGTTAATCAACAGTTTAAGTTCCAAGTAAGCTCTAAATACTAAGACTGCGGCATAAAGCTTGTCACAGGTTAAACTTGAGATAACTGATAAATGAACATCTATCTCACAACACCATTTAGGAGCTTCATATAACATGAACAGAGAAAAAAGTAAACCAAGAATGCGGATCATTGGATCAGCATCTACCAAGTTAGTATTTACATTTACGAGTCTCAAGTTGAAGATACTCATTTATTATCATGCAAGTTTGCTCCCCAATATCAAAGCACACAATGATCTATCTATCATCTATACAAGATATGTATGTTTTATACTCTCAAAAGTTATTGCACTAATTTCAGTCTCACAAGAAGTAACAGAATTCGAGGGACTGATCAAGACAAGTACTATGTCCTATGGGCCCAAAGAGGTGTAAGATAGTCTGTCATATTGATTGACCTTTCCAAGATAATGTCATTATTGGATAATACAAAAAGTTGAGCATCACGTTATGGCTCAAGTGAACTCCCCTGTAAGCATAAAGAAAAGGATAGGATTTTCATAGGTCTTAATAAGTTTACATACGAGAAAATTAGAAGAGGGCAAATCAGTAAAAAAATGAATGCACCAAGTGCTGATTTATAATCCAAACTCATCACAAATTTCACACAAATCCTTGAAGTGAAGACAACATTGCCCTGTGTACTTACAAAAATTCTAACGCTTTATTATGTTTTTTTTAATCAAAATATATATGCAACAAAAGATGCTGAAACTTGCAGAATTTTCTCGTTAAAGAGAAAAAGCTTGCAGTGGATATTTTTTTAACAAGAATAAAAGTAAAGTTAATAAGATGAACCAAAAGAATAATATTGGCAAAAATCAGCATCTGTTTTAAGACGTTGGAAAAGTTAACCATTTTAGATCAGAATAATACATAATTACATTATAGCAGCAATGATACTGCTGCAAGCATACCTCAGCCGCCTCCACCAAGAGACCCTCGTCTTTATACAAAATACCACAATGTGTGAGGGCACAAGCATTTTGCGGTTCCAATTTGATGGCTTCTGAAAAACTCTCCTGCGCAAGCCTCCCCATGTTCTGCATCTGGAGGCAAATCCCTTTGCCTATGTGAGCTTCAACATTTTTAAAATCCTTCTCCAATACATTCTCGTAGATATCAAGTGCATCCACAAACTTATTCCTTGAGCGGAGAATGTTGGCATGGGCCACATCATCTTTCCCTTTGAAACTCTTCTCCATAGGACTTATGCACCCTGGAGAACTTCTGTTCCCAGAAGAAAGCTGCCCTCCATTTGAGGAAACTAGATCATCAACTGAGTCTCTTTCTTTTCCATTGCCAATATCCTTTTCTGTCCTCGCCATCTAATCTGATTCACAAACTCAGAATCCTGAAACAAAATCATCAACAGTAAGAACACTGACAGCCATGTTCTTGTAACAAATTTGCTTCTTATTTCAAACACAAATAAAATAATAGATAGAAGTCTCTAGAAATATTAAATTTATCATCATTACCAAATCCGCATTAACTACATTTTGGATTAGATATGATTGATAGCTAACCCAGAAGTAATTAGGAAAGAGAAAAGGCTACCTTGATGTACAAAAATGCTGTAACATTTTAAAACCACGTTCCTTAACTAAGACCAACTTTTTTCGGCTATGACATTTTTTTTTTAGTTTTTAGTGTTTGGTTGAGTTAAAACATATCCATTAGAGGAAAATGACTTCAAGATTTCACCAAAAACCTATAAATTTTCAACAAATAACCATGATTTTTAAATCCGTCGCCATCATGGCCACTACCAACAGCTATCACCACCTCCATCATCACTTTAGCTATCCCCTGTACCACCAGGTTTTGGCCATGATCTCTTCTCTTTATATTTGAATAACCCCAACTCCGACAATCTCCCATTTGTTCAAATATAAAAGAGACACAATCTAGTATAAATGGTGTTTACGCATAGAATAAGGTATCTTTTGATTTGAACTTTAATTTAGCATAAGTTTCACAAAATATTATCAAAATCCCAAGTAGCTAAAAGCTTTGAACCAGTAATTCCTTATGATAGTAACAGTGACACCACATACAAACATACTTAAGTTCTTTGTTCCACAAGGTTCTTGCTTAGCGCGTTTAATGGCCAGGCATTTAATCCTTTTCGTGAACTTTTCAAAAAGAAACTCCAATTTTTTTGAAAAGGTACCACCTCGAAGTTCATATCAGTAAAATTCTTTTAGTATCTTTGTTACTTTAGAGATATCAATTCCTCCCACAATAAAAATCAGCACTTAAACATCTTAGTTATGACATTTTTAAATAAAGTGCTGAAGTATTCGCTTATTGAAATACTTGTTATTACCCTTTGAATTTAAAATTACTCATTTTGTAATGTTAGGTAAGGTTGTTTTCATTGGTAGAATTTTATAATGGAGTTTTAGGCCCATCTCTTGATGTTAATCTTATTAACTCTCTAGTAAGAGGCTTATCTTTATTTAGACTTCACACATTTGAATTAAATAAATCCACTCTAGATTAATTTCTTCACATACTCGTGTTTTAAACTAATATGTCTATACTTCCTTTCTTGTCAAACTTATGATTTTATAATGTTAGTCCATAATGTGACTCAAAACACTTTATATTGGCAATCTCCATTGATTTTTCACTAGAAAATATCTCTACAATAGCTAAAGACAGGACAAAATTAAAGTTAGACTCATGACATTTAAACTAATGGGAATACCTTTTTTTTTTAGTTCCAACCAACCTCGTTCATGATTTATAACTCCTTGTAATCCTACTAACTATTTGCCATAGAGCAGATCAATAACATAAGTTTCATCATCAAGTGTAACGAGTTCCACCATTAAATTTTGTTAGACAATAATCAACTCGACGAACTAGATACCCTTTCCGTATTGGCACTTCTAACTCAAATATTCCAGCCAGTACATATGGATGGCAAAATACTCCGCCCCGTCCCTCATTGCCCCACCTCATCAAGTAATCATGATGAGAATGAAAAACATGGTCCCAATCCTGAATTTCCCAAGATCAACCTTAACCTTTTTATTTTATTTTTTTACTTTTTCAAAATTCAAATCTCATCTTAAATAATAAAAAATATTATAAAAAAAAAGTAAATGGGTATAATTTTAATCCCCCGAAAGGGTAATTACATTCACACCACTATTTTTATTAGTAGCAACACATTCTAATTTTACTTAAATCCCTCAACCTTTGCTCATTGTATAACTTTCGACCATACTTCTTGTTCGTCGAATATTCATCTTCAAAATTCTATTAATTAGCAAATCTTGTCTTTGACGTGGTTTAAGTTAAACTGATTTTTTTGTGTGTGCTTAAAATGAGGAAAATTATTTTGTCTCACTTTTGCGTTTATTATTTTTTGCTAATTAATAAAATGTAGAACAAGAATGCGTAAAAAAATAAAGTTAAGGACGCAAGGATTGCAGTAAGCAAAAAATGTGGTATAACAAATAAAAAATGTAGTGTGACCCTCCCCAGAAATCCCTGAACGCCCGTAGCCATCCCTACTTGTACACCGACATTGAGAAAATGAATTAAAATAAAAGTCGAAAGCATCAATTAAAAATTTAAAACCACAACTAGTAGAAACATGCTCTTCAAAAGCATCAATTTTCAAACGACTAATAAAAAAGCACCCTTTAAAGCATTAATTGAATTTTCAAAAATTAAAACCAACTCCAATTTCAAGAAGAAAATAAAAACAATATACGGTTGAATTTACCGTTCACCGAGGAATCGCCAGAAAATTGAAGTTTAAAGTCTTTGTACACAGAGATTTGGAGACCATATTTAAAGTTCGGAGGAGAAATTTGGGAGGCTGTAGCGTCGATGTACTGAGAAATAACGCGGGAGAGGTTTGGTAGAAGAGAGATTTGCGAAGCGATAGTATTGATGTATTCAGAAATAATGTCTCAAGAGGTTTGCTTGAAGAGACGAACATATGGCCCCTTTTGCTGCATTTAAAATTTAAATTAATTATATATTTATAAAATTTATAATTTTTTTAATTTTTCAACAACATATTTCATCAATTTTAATTAACATTTATTAAAAAATTAATTTTTAGCTACATAATGGACATGATAAGAATATGGAATAACTTGAAAAAAAAATTATCGCATTAGTACATCGTCTCAATAATTTTTTGGTAAAAAATCTAAAGAATACTTCCAACAAAATCCACCAGGTCACTTGTCCTTGTACCACCCAATGCGACTATGCCTGTGTTTTTCTAAATTTCGGGTGATGTCGCATTGTTCTAAAATATAACTTGAATCATGCTTCATGTACAAAGACCTGACATAGCACTTACACATGTAGGGTTCACGTATAATTTTTTTTACTACGGTGTGGGGCCACCATGTTAGTGACTTGTTGAGCCCCTATAAATTAATCCCTTGTACGTGGGGATTAATTCATATAACACATAAAATTTATTTCATCCCAAAATCTTGCTAGTACTTGTCCGTGGATTCATAGAGACTTAACCCATGCCCCAGCCACGCACCAAATTTTTAGCACCTTCAGAATAAATGGCTATATTGAGTTTAAGGTGGGGTGAACACAAAACTCGTTAATCTTGTAATTCGTAAGTGATAATCTTGAATCAATGATTCAGTTCCACGCGAACTTGTCTGTGTCGTGATTTTGAATTCAATCGTGTTACATATACAATGATGGTTGACAATCTTTGTTGACATCATCATATTCATCCATTTAAAAAAATTTCAAGAACTGTTTTTTTTAAATCAATTGTCCAGATTTTACCACTTCCAACATTGTCAATTATCATTGTACAAGTAGATTAATTCTTTTAAATTAAATCTAGACATTTATAAACCCTACGATTTTGATTTCGGTAATTCAAATTTTTTTTTTTGAAAACATAATGAATTGTTTGCACGATAAATAAAAATAAAAATTGTATGCACAGTAAGCTAGGACATTGAACAAAACATGGCATATGCATGTTGTAGTCACTGAACATGCCAATTGACGTATTTTTGTCTCGTCCATAGCTTCTAAGCCTTGGAGAGTCGAGAGATTAGTATTTTTCTTTCAAAGTTACTTTAGTTAAGGGTATGTTTGATGTAACTTTTTTTAGAATAGATTTTGTGAAAAATGGATATCCTTTTAGAACGTGTAGTTAAAAATTAAAGAAAAAAAATTATGGATGACATGTAAAATTATTTTATTTCGAGAATGTTTAGTTAAAAAATATTGAGAAAAATAAATTTTAAAGAATGTGTACCAAACATAAGCTAAGTTACCAAAATTAGTTGGCAAATTTTTTTTTACGAATTTCAGTTCGTGTTAACCAACTGCTTGTCTACATAACATTCGACTTTATAATCTAAAGTTATATTTTCAGAAGTAGTTGAAACGGCGTCCAATTTCTTATGCTAAAATTCTCAACTATGTCAAGTTCACTTTGCACTTGATGTTTTTCGATGATTATTACAGACATTGGGAGATTTAGCTCCTTTTTTTATTAGGGATGACAATGAGACGAGTATTAGACAAGTCGATCGTTCCCACCCTATCATGTCCAGTATTCTTGTCACATTTTCCCATCCCATACCTGATTAAAGCGGCATGAGGCAGGACATATCCCTTGCCCCATTTATCTCCCAATTTTTTTAATTTTACTTTTTAAATTTTTTTAATCTTTAGTTAGTAAATATATATATTTTTAAATTTATTAAGAACAATTTATGTTCTCTTTGAAAATAATGATAAATATTTATTTTTATTATTTGATAAAAAATCTAAATTTGAAATTAACATTAAACGAGACAGAGACCCGCCTTGTTTCCCCCGTTAAACCGGCACGGGTGGGATGGGACCCGCGAATATCGAGTTGAACAATTTTTTTTGCCATCCCTATTTTTATTCTCTATTTTCTAAAGCTCATTTTTGTCGTTGAACTCGTTTTTAATTACATTTCATTGCATCTACAATTTTTATCAAATTTTTAACAACATATTTTGTCAATTTTTATCAAAATATACTAAAAAATTAATTTTAATCTAAATCGGGCGTAACGATCTTGATCAAAGCCCAATTTACAACCTTGAAGAACTGCCGTCCAACCATTGAAATTCGTAATCCGTTGTCCATTGGCAAGCAAGCAGTTGGATATAGGGCGAGCTACATAAGCCTTGCTTTCTTGCGCACTCTTTCTTATTGCAGCTGGATAGATGGTGCTAAGTTCTTAACTGGGGCATCTGCGTTAGGAGCATAGCTATCCCCATTATTCCGAGGCAGGCAGATTTGATTGGGGACTGGAGCTATGTTCATTGAATTTACATCGTTCGTCTGCACTATTCTACGTTACCATCGTGCTAGCCTTGACTATGAATGGTGAAGGATTTGGAAATGATATTCATATAAGTTTGGTATCTATCTTCAAACATTGAAATGGTTCAAAGTGTTACAAAATAATAGTGAATAAATACATGATGAATAGATACCGAATGTGCAACTAACTTACTGTATAAACAAAAATATCAGATAGACATATACCGATTGTACAACTAACTTACCGTAATAACAGAACACATACCGACAGTATAACTAACTCAACGTATGAACAGAACACATACCGATGGTGTAACTAACTAACTTTACGAACGTATATCGATTGAACGGATACCTTATAAACAAATATTTATTAGACAGCTAACTAACCAAATGTTAGCCAAAATATTAAATATTAAATAATTTTATTAATCACAATAAAAAAAGAACAAATAATATAAATTGCAGAAAATAAAAATTCAATAAACTTTGAAACTGATCCATGTGTGAATACAATTTTCTTAAAACAGATTCGCTCCTCGTATCGTAGGTGCTTGGGTTTAGTTCGAGCGTCAGTTTGACACCGATTGATAGTGTTTAACTATCAGTTTGTAACTTCAAATCTCAAGCAAAAGTTCATCAAAGATGGAAGAAAAATGATAAAGGACAGGAGCAGGAAATAAAAGGAAAAGCAGAAGAAATAAAACAGAAAGGAAAATATGATCGAACATCAGTAGGAAAAGAGATTCACATCTACAACCTTAGCAGGTTGTATTTCGACGTGTCCTAAGATTTTTTCCATTGATCATCATCTGCTCAAAAAATTTAAAAAATAGTTTCAAGAATTAAGAGAAAACCCCAATTTTAGTGCAAGCAAAATAGAAGGCAGATCAAGTGAACCTCCACAAAATTTGCAACTCTAGCGGATGAGATTTTCGAGCTTTTGGATGCAAAATTATGCGTATGCATACACACATGGATTCAAGTTTTAGATCAGAGACAAGGAGGAGAAAGTAAAGAGGAAATAAGAAATGAGCTAATCAAAAAGACTACGTGGAAAATTGCATTAATTAAGATGAAAAGAAAATTCTGGAATTCAGGGTTACGTGGCGATATTTACTTCGCCCCTTGTTTGGAGCTTATTTTTCCACCGAAAGAATACATTATTTGATCGTTAAACTCCAAATTCAGCCACCATTTTTTACCTTTTGTCTCACAAGTGGGTCCCACTTTCTCAACCAACGGTCATTGTTTTCTACTTTGGAGTTGAAGAATGAGCTCCAAACAAAGACGAATTCATATGATCAAACTTCGGGACTCGTGTTGGGCTGAATCTTAGGATAAATCGAGAGCAATTGTGTTACTTTAAATATTGAGTTAAATAGCACTAGGCTGGATATTTTAATAATTTTAGCACTCATCTCTTTACTCTTTTGCTATTAATTTTTTTTCCCCAAATTTTCTTTTTTGGGTTTTAATTCCAGAGAAAGAGAAAACTTGTCGCAAACTAAGTGGCACGATTTTTATTATGTGATAGTGAAAGTGCATTTGAATATCTGACTAGTTCGAACACCTTGATTTAAAATGAGTTGATCTATGAGGCTTACTTTTGGACAAGATGTAATTTCACCAAATATTTGGGACTAAATTTGCAATTTACACAAAATGGCTTATCTTCAATGTAGTGGAAAAATTGAAAGAGAGGTTGTGAGCTTCAAGAAATATAAAAAATCTATCCTATTCATATCTTCTTTTTCTCTCTTCTGTCTCTTTGCTCTGTTAAACTTGAGAAGCCATGGCTTCCATGGCTGCTAGACAAATTTTCAACTTGAAGCCTGTGAATTTTTCACCACTTGGCTTTTTTCCAAAGTCACCTGTAATATTCGTTTCCTCCAACAAGACTGTTCAGTTCCTAAGTTTTGGTGGTGACTTTTCTAGCAAAGATAATCTTACCGCAGTCCCCAAGGCATCATCAGATGGCATTTTGCCTATTGATGATGAAGATGGAGTGTCCTTGGGAACCATGAAACTGCCCTCCAACACTGACCTTTCAAGATTTGAATCCTTACTCTTTCAGGTAGTTTGAAGTTTGAATAAAATTTAGATCACAAAGGCCTAAATGTCGTAGTTCTTGATTGTGCATTAATATAATTTGGCAGTGGGCGAACAGTCTTTGCCAAGGTGCCAATTTGCCTATGCCGGTGCCTCTGAAGGTCAGTATTGTTTATAATCTATCTTCCTTTGATTCGTAATGCTTGTTTCTTCAACACAATAAGGTCTTTTTCCCAACCACTTTGTGATCATGATGTAGAGTGAGTCTTGTTTCCCAAATTGCTTGTTAAAGTAACTGTTTTGCAATTTTCGCAACAGGTCGACAAAATTCCAGGTGGAGCTAGACTTGGGTTTATTACAATTGGAGATGGAGAGACTGAGGTTCTCGTGTACATAGACTGCTTAGTTTTTCCAGCTACTGAGAGTTCTGGTCCAGTATTTCGGGCCATAAGGAATGGACCCCAGAAAAATCAGTCTCCTCCTGGAGAGCCAAGAATCATGAGAAGCCTTCTAGATGCCCTAAAGAAGTCTGTCGAGATAGCAAGGCTTTAAAACATATCTTCTTTTTGCTTCGAAACTTGGTGGAATGTAGTCATCTAATTTACTTTGCTGTGGTATAACGTAATGAAATAACTATTTTATTTCCGGTAGTGTTCAGCCACGATCATGCTCAGGTCTGTCTAAGATATTAAATCCCAACTCAGCAAATCCATTGTTGGCCTATAATATCTTCAAAGTTCAGCGTGCAACTCTATCTGACTTTTAATCACACAATCATTGGACCAACTTTTGATAAAAGCTTTTCTTATGACAGTCAAAAGTATTTTCATAACATTAGTCAAATTGATCTAAAAGCAACTTTTGAGTTTTAAAAACTTCTTTTAACTTTTCAAAAGTCTTGCCGAACGAATCCTTCCTCTAAATTTTGGCACATTAATCGCGATTAAAATCTTCAAAGTCATGTTATATTAACTAAATAGCCAAACACCGTACCATAAAACAATTGGATACCAAATTTCATATAATCAAGACCATAGGTGGCTAAGGAATAGCCGTCTTATGAATCAAAATAAATCGGACAAGGAGTGACTATCAAAATTGAGTTGAATTTCAATTTAAATAAATAAAATGTTGTGTGCAGAGGAATAAACACACGACAGTTTGGCCGAGTGGTCTAAGGCGCCAGATTTAGGCTCTGGTCCGAAAGGGCGTGGGTTCAAATCCCACAGCTGTCAACTCATCCTTTTTTATTAATTGATACACTTTTTGCCATCCTAAACGGCATCGTTTTACTATTGCAAATTATCTTTATTAGACTTTCTTTTTTGCTATTCTCAACGTAGAATTGTAGACTTTGCTGTTGCTGAGAAATGAGGACAACTCTCCGCAAACCCTGTCTATCCCACCTCTTGAACCGGCTTCTCTACTCTCCGATCCCGGTCCTCCACCGGTCTGGACGATACCTTCAAACCTTAGCCTACGAAGAGTTGAAATCCCCTCCAGAAAAACGTCACAATTACACAGCATTTATTCTCCACGGCCTCCTCGGCTCCGGTCGAAACTGGCGTTCCTTTTCCCGTTCCCTTGCTTCCACACTCTTGCCCGCCCGTATGTACCCCCACTACTTATATATATAGATTCAATACACATATGATATTATGATTCAGTTGCATTCACCTCGAAAAGTGGAAATTTTTAATGAAATTTTGTATTTTGTGTGTTGGATTATGTGTAGAGTGGAGGATGGTGACGGTGGATTTAAGGAACCACGGAAAGTCGGCTGAAATTGAAGGATTATTGCCCCCACACGACCTGGAAAATGCAGCCAAGGATCTGGCGAATTTGGTTAAAACTGAGGGGTGGGATTGGCCCGACGTTGTCATTGGGCATTCCATGGGGGGCAAGGTTGCTTTGCAGTTTGCTCAAAGTGTTGCTAATGGGGATTATGGGGATCATGTTCACTTGCCCAAACAGGTAGTCTAGTTTGATCAAATCAATAGATTAACTTGGATCTGTATCTTCCAATTTATATTTGCGAGTTTACATTTTAATGGAAAATTTACTACAATTTCTAGCACGTGAATGGCCTTGAAGAGAATTCAAAACATTGGTCACCTGGTTTTTGTTTGACATTATTTGGTTTCTGATTTTTGTTCAAGTTTTTTTGTATATTTCAACTTTGATGAGCTGGATTCAGAAGGTATAATTTTGCTAACAGATGAGTACACTGTCGAATAGCAGCTATGGGTATTGGACTCTGTTCCTGGAACAGTGAACCGCAAGAATGGTGATGGTGAAGTGGAGAAAGTTCTGGAGACCTTGCAGAGTCTACCTTCAACAGTTCCCTCTCGGAAGTAAAGTCCATCTAACCATATTGTTACTCTCCTGCATTGATGCGGTTGGTTTTGTTCTATTTGTGGCAGAAGCTAGGGGTATTGTAGCATACTTGAACATTTTGTTGCTCGCTTTTAATTGCCTCTGTCATAGTCATTGTTTATTTAATTGCCGATTAATGTCTAATAAGTTACTCTGTTGATAGAAAATGTCAGCCAATATCCCCAAATCAATTAAGTTCTTATATTTTGGTGTGATCACTGCTCTCATATCACTTTATTCTGTATCCTTAACTAGTTAATGATATTTAGTTTAAGTGGCAATGGTTGAATCACTCGTCCATGAGGTCTCATTTTACCATTTTGTGGATTGTTTACTTCGTCATTATTTTTTGGGCCTGCTATTATGTGGGCTTCTAATCCTTGTTATTGTACTCTATGACAATATAAATTACGAATGCACACGTTTTTTCTTCAAGCAAGTATACATTATATATTATTGTAGTTTTTTTGTTAGTTATCAGGATTGCATACTACTGCTGTTTAGTTTAACAAATGTAAGCAATCCAAGTAACCTAAATGTTATATCTCAGTTGGCACTTAAAAGAACTGAAGAAAGTGGTGAATTTGTTAAAGGAACTTCTGCCTAGATTCGTTAATTGTCAATTTATCATTTGCATTACTATATCGATGCCATTTTTTCGCAGCTTGAAATTTTACACACAGAATAATACACAGCTTGGGTAATGGTTTTTTTTATAGACATAAAACAATAGATAGCTCTGATATTGTTTTCTTTATCTATGGCGAGTCTTCTCCCTCCGATAAACTTGTGCAAGTCAAAACCTTTTGGTATTTCAAGTGTTTATATCATTGTCCAAGTGTACATGTGTGTGTGTTGTAGGTTTCTTTAATAAGATAGAGTGAATAATGTATTGTAGGGAATTTCCTTTTTGTATTATCGAGGGACTCTGAGGTACGAGTATCAAAAGAATATTTAAACCTTTTGTCATTTTTGATGTTTCTGAATCTGTTAATGATTTGTTATGACATTCCTCTGGATTTAGGACTAAAAACCTTGTTTTCTAGCATTTTGTTGTAAAGGTATCAATACATGACCAATAGGGTGCTTTTATTAGCTTAATAATTTATTTATTTATTTTTCATTATGCATCTTTTTTTTTTTTTTTCACACTTTTACTACCATATCTTCTTAATTTAACTTTTGGCACATATCTTCCTTAATTTAACTTTCTGGTCCTATACTGTGTTCTCTTTTGACCCCCATGTAACTCTCACTTACATTTTCTCCCATTTTATATTACGTGTTTATGTATTCTTCCCCAACATTTTCCATTTCTTTCCCATTCTTTTTCATCTAAGAAATTTATTATTTAGTGTAGAATGTTTTGAGTTTTCTCATTTGGTAATGTAACAAGTCTCCTTGCTTGCTTCAGATGGCTGGTAGATCACATGCTAAAACTTGGGTTTTCCAAGTCATTATCAAACTGGATTGGAAGCAACCTTAAACAATCAGGAGAAGAGCAGACTTGGGCTTTTAATCTTGAGGGCGCTGTTCAGATGTTCGATTCTTACAGGTAATAATTTTAATCTGTTTGACGTGGCTCTGTTGCTCATAATATAAATGAAATTAGGAGCATGTTTGGTAGCGATTAAAATCGGATTAAAATTGAAAAACTAGTCATTATTGTTGACTTTTATTAGACGAATAAGACTCAATAACGACTATATTTTCAATTTTAATTGGATTTTAATCACTTCGAAACATGCTCTAGATAGTTTGCATTTTCCCGATCTGACTGCACTTTTTGTTAATGAAAATCATAGGGTAACGGATTACTGGCCTCTGCTGGAGCATCCACCCAAAGGCATGGAGATAGAAATCGTACGTGCTGAGAACAGCGACAGATGGGACTTTGATGTCATTAAGCAACTTGAAAGCCTTGCTACTACTAAAAGAGTGGATGAAACTGAAGGGAAAGTTTCGGTTCATGTTCTGCCCAATGCAGGCCACTGGGTTCATGTGGATAATCCCAAGGGTCTTCTTGAGATTATGACGCCCAAAGTTGCCTCTTTGGCTTAGCCATTATGGTCATGGCTTCTAGATTTCTACAGCTCAAAGCAAACATTGATTCAGTGCAAATACCACTCATTCCAGTACATTACTTTATATTAAAGCTGTGTTTGATAAGCC